GTCAAATCAGTGGATTTTCACTCTAGATAAACTATTTCAGTTCACCACAGCTTAGGGCCTAGGTTTGGGGCTGTGGAAATAACCTCAGATGATTGAACTTACTTTTCACCTGAACAAAAATATCATCTTCTTATTATGGTAACAAGAGTAGTTTGTGTACCATACAATCCAGCTTTTTGATAATGTGGGCTTGTGATTGTCAATGGAACTAAAACATTTGGTGCATGACTGCAAATCCTGCATATAATCCGAATGTCCAAGAATTGCCGTTGTTGACTTGTGTACAATATGTTTTGTAAAGTTGTTTCGTACGATCTTGATGTTGTTTCTTAGATCAATTATGGTTTATGGCTTATACTTTCCCAGGAAAAACTTGAGAAAAATAGAAAGAAGGCTGAAGCTTATATTTCTCACCTCAAAGAATTGGCTGCCTCACGGGCTGATTGTGCTCTCCCAGGGAGCAATAGTAATTCAGGCAATTTCCTTTCCTTGGGAATGAACGATCCTCTCTGCAAAGTTCAGGGGCGTATGCAAGGGCATGTGGATAGAGATGATGCTGATAGCGAAGAAGTTTTGTTCCCTATGACTGCCAGACTTCCACTTGTTGAGAGAATACCTCCCTATACCACTTGGATCTTCTTAGATAGGTAAAGGACCTTCACAGTAGTTTTCATTTTTCACGGTTTGTTGCCTAAAATCAGATTTCTATTTAGTTCTTCAGTTATCCATTTGATTCTTGAGTTGAAAAGAGAGATTAATGTCTGGTTTTAGTTTTATATTCAACTTGGGTGCAGAAATTGAGCTACCTTATATGCATATATATTTGCAATTCATCATTTTCTACTATAATTTATTCAAGTTTCCTTTGCACAGCACAGAAATCAGAGAATGGCTGATGATCAATCAGTTGTGGGGCGTAGACGAATTTACTATGATCCACATGGTAGTGAGGCTCTCATCTGTAGTGACAGCGAAGAAGAGATCGTACAAGTGGAGAAGGAGAAATATGATTTTTCTGAGGGCGAAGATCGTGTGATGAGGTCTGTTTGTAATGTCTGTATTGCTTCCAAAAAAAAATCGATATGGGAATGTAGCAATAACTGTTATCGTACTTCCTGAGATGACATAGTTGGTTATGCTGACCTTAATGTCATCAGTATGTACCTTCCATATAACTATGATATATATATACTCTGGAATATGCTCTTAGTCTTGCAGCTATTATGTAGTACTATATTTTCGACCAACATTGGATTTCCTGAATGGATGGAATCAGATGTTTTCTTATGTATATTGTCATTTTCTAGGGTGGCTGTCCAGGAGTGTGGGGTTGCTAATGAAGTTTTTGATATGTTGACGCAGTTTGTTGGAGGAACATCTCAGGAAATTAAAGTAAATTCTTTATGTGACTACATGAATTTGTAAAATTAGTGATAATAATCAGGTGGTTTTTATTTATTTTTTTCTTGTTTTGTGAGGAAAAGATCACTTGACTTGTGTCGACATTTCTTTCTTTATGCTTGCAGTTATCTCCTTTAATTTATCATTTGTTCGGTATGCAGGATCACTGCAACATGCTCATGGAAAATGATCCACCTATAGAAAAAATGACCTCTGAAAGTTCGAGGGAGACGGGATTTGTAGACAGTCTGTTACTGGAAAAAAGCCTGGCTGCTGCTTTAGATTCTTTTGACAATATATTTTGTCGACGTTGTCTGGTATGTAGTCTTGGTGTGTGAGTTGTCATTCTGTGTTTAATTTTGTTATCAGGCAGCTCCTTTTGGTCCCTCTTTCATTCGTCTCGTGCTTCCATGTACAATTTCATGCACATTAAACTATAACCTTAATCATAGGAGATTGAAAGATAACTCTATTACAATCAGCTTATGAATTTCTAATCGCGCTCATTGTTAGCTTTTTTTAACTTACCTCCAAATATTAACAGGTATTTGACTGCCATTTGCATGGTTGTTTTCAAGATGTAATTAACCCGGTAAGAAAAATGGATGCATAAATTCTTTTGGACACACACACGCACATATTCTCATCAGTTGTGATCACACAAGCTCTGATGGACAGAATGAAAAGCAGCCATTCACATTTGATCACGACGATGACCGTAAACCCTGTGGTGATCAATGCTATCTTCAGGTAGAGAAATTTATAAAGAATCTTAACGTTAATGAGTCTGTTTAGAGAATCGTAGAGTTCTTTTTTATTTCCTTCAAAGAGATCGAATAAACCATGCTTTCAATGATTTAGTGTATCATTTTATTGCCAAAAACTAAGGGAGCCTGAGCATCGGTATCGTATTTTACTTTTATCCAATTTGCGACATCTGTTCTTTGTGCACATTATTACGTGAGTCCTGAATTATTGGTTGTCGAAACTAATTTTTAGAGGCATAAGCTCAATTATTAATTTCATGGTCTCTCCCTTTTGTATATTTGTCCTTCATGGAAGATTTCATCTTGTTGCCATTTAGATGCATGCTGTGAAGAATTTGCCGAAGAATTCACGAGTAGATTCCCTGAACGAGCATAAAACATCTGAGGAGAAAGGTAAAACTTAGATACTACTTCCTCTGATTCTCCTTTTGAATATCTTGATAATCACATTTGTCATGTAGCACATTTTCCAGAAAGCAAAGGAAGGTCCTCAATACTTCAACCTACAGATTCGTTAGCTGCACCAACAGAATTGGTTTTGGAGGAATTCCAAAGTTCATCCAATAAGAAACTTGAGCTGAATGACACGAATCTTTTGGACAATAGTACAAGTTTAGAGCGCCAGTTCTCTGGAAAAAGTGGACCCATTGTATATGAACTCGAGAGGTGAGCACCCTATTCCCTTATTTTTGCCATAAGCACATTTTTTATGGTTTTTTATCTTCTCACAACATAACTGGTGATTATGTTCAGGGACGATGTCCAAGATAAAGGGAAAGATATCACTGAACTCCCATTGAAGCAGGCATCCAATTCCATTGAAAGATCAGTTAAAGTTATGCATAGATGGAAACCTTTTGAAAAAGACTTATACTTGAAAGGATTAGAGATATTTGGAAGAAATAGGTATGGGAATCTCGGTGTTTGATGGCCATTTTGCTTGAATGATTACAGTTTGGTCTTTGTTCATGACCAAAAAATGTATTGATGTTTACATATATGCAGCATCAATCCTGATTTTTCATAAAAATGTCGAATGGGTCATATATTCATAAATTGGTTTTTTCAACTGAAAGTAGTAAGTTCTTGTTCTAGCTCAAAGTGCCTTATGGTAATACTTGGTCCAGAACAATAGGGGCCATGATCAAGCCCGTATAACATCACCCGCAATGACTGTTTTTGAATATTTCATTGAGGTGCTTGCTTTCTTATTAATAAAATAAATATTTTTAGTTACGCTTACAACTACTTTTGGCTATCCTTCTTCATGGGAAGCTAATTGATGAGTATTTTCAACAGCTGCTATATAGCTAGGAATTTGCTCGCGGGTCTTAAAACTTGCAAGGAAGTGTCGACTTATATGTATGGTGATGGAGCTGTGATGTCTCGTGGATCCTCAGCTATGTGCTTTGAAGATGTTTGGAAAGCCGACATGGATCATATGGTTTCTAGTCTTTGCTTTATCTTTTTCCCTTACAACACAACCTTATGCGACTTTGAGCTGCTTATTTCGTTCTCACTGTTTCATCATTAGACACTGGTTAATTTTTTATTTTTCAGATATATGAAGAGTTAAATTTTCCAGTCAAGTCGAGGATGTGCCGTAAAAGGGGTAGAGTGCGGAAGGTAAAATCTTCGTGGAAGTCTGCTGGGCATCCATCCCTGTGGAAAAGGACTGCAGATGGTAAAGATCTTCCGTGTAAGCAATATTCTCCGTGTGGGTGCCAGCCTATATGTGGAAAGGACTGCCCTTGTCTGCAGATAGGAAATTGCTGCGAAAAATACTGCGGGTACTTTTTATTATCATCTTTGTGAACCGTACATCTGTATCTGAGGTTTTCATTNATATATATATATATATATATATATATATATATATAATTGAAGAGAGAGAGAGAGAGAAAAACTTTTTTTCTGTAATAGAGAAAATAAATGTATTTTGTTTAAAATGGGAACTAAAGAAAGTTCATTTTAACAGGTGCTCAAAGAGCTGTAAGAATCGGTTCAGAGGATGCCACTGTGCTAAAAGCCATTGCAAAAGCCGGCAATGCCCTTGTTTTGCAGCTGGCCGTGAATGTGATCCTGATGTTTGTCGAAATTGTTGGGTTAGGTACCGATTTTTCAAGTTTACACGTCTTAAATTTCTATATCTGTTTTTTTTTTTGTTTCTTTTCCCCTCACTCTTTTACTCCAATTGACGAGCTTTACAAGATCCCTAGGAAATAGTAAGCACACACACACACAAAAGACCTGTTTTGCATCTTTGCATGTACTAGAAAAATTTTCAAATCCAGTTAAACTACAGAGGAAAAGCTAAATTTTGATATATTCAGTTCAGTTTATCAACATACGTAACCAATTTATTTCAGCTGTGGCGATGGATCATTAGGAGAACCACCAAGAAGAGGAGATAGTCAGTGTAGTAACATGAAGCTCCTCCTCAGACAACAGCAAAGGGTACCTTATATATATATATAAATCGTTTTTTTCTTCTAATGCATTTGTCTTTATCATCTGATAAAAACATTTAACTTTGTTTTCCTCTTGGATAGATCCTCTTGGCGAAGTCAGATGTTGCTGGTTGGGGAGCATTTCTTAAGGTACAAAATAAATTCTTATAACTATCTTTTCTATGTCACGGGGATAAATCGAGTGATTTTAACTTCAGAACACTGTCAACAAAAATGAGTACCTTGGAGAATATACTGGTGAATTAATCTCCCACCGAGAAGCCGATAAACGGGGTAAAATCTACGATCGTGCTAATTCATCATTCCTCTTTGACTTGAATGACAAGGCAAGTGATTTTTTTTTTTTTAATATTAAGGTCTTTCTTTCTTTCTCCATAGAAGATATTCTCAAAATATTTTCGGGTTGGTTTCAGTATGTACTCGATGCATGCCGCAAGGGAGACAAGTTGAAATTCGCAAACCACTCATCAACTCCAAACTGTTACGCAAAAGTACCAATCGAATTTACCCATTTTTGTCGATGACAAAATTTCTCGTTTTTCATTTTATTTCTAAAAACTTCAATAAAGTCCGATACATGATATTGATTTATAAATTAAATGCAGGTTATGTTGGTGGCTGGTGATCACCGTGTCGGAATATATGCCAACGAGCGTATTGAAGCTGGTGAGGAGCTTTTCTATGACTATCGTTATGGGCCCGACCAAGCGCCCTCATGGGCCCGAAAGCCCGAGGGCCCAAAGAGAGACGATATCAGCTTTTCTCAAGGCCGAGCAAAAAAACACCAATCGGGTTGAGACTTTGAGAGTTACCATTATCTTGATGGCTGTTACTCTTTATTGTTACAAGTAATTATAGGAATAGTCTTTTAGACAGCATAAAGTTAGATGAAATGAACTACATATTCTTATATAGCTTCTTGTTGTGTTTTGTATTTTCTAGTTTTGTACTCACTCAATAAGACTGGCCAACAATTGTGTCAAGATATTTCTACAAAAAGTAAATAAAAATGGATTCAAGACAGCCTGTTTATATATACACACATAACACACTTATTTGCCTGAGAACTCATAAGTTTTGCTGCATGTAGACTGGATTTACAACATATCAATGAAAGAATAGGAAAAAAATGTTAAAAAAAAAAATGTTACAAGTTTATAAAATTGGCCTTCGTACTTGATTGTAAATGATAATACAATAACTCATTCCAGATATCTGGAACGCCAGGAAGGCACCAATGGCTGCAATCTTGAATGCTCGGTTTAATGGATTTTCTTCCATAGATGGATGGATGAGCATCGGGTCTATAATCCGATAATTGTGTTATGTTGAGAAAAGTGACTGGGGACTTCATTTGACTTATAATCTTCTCCACAATCAAATTCTTCTCTGGGTAATTAGAGGTAAATGTCACGTTAATTGGTCGAAAAGCTTCCTTACAATGGCCTCCGCTGTTCCATAGACCTCCACTGTCATAAAAGAAGAGAAAATAAAGGAAAAGGGAAAAAAAAAGAAAAAAGAGAACAGGATGATTTTTTATACTGTCTTTGAGGCAAACCTGAAATGTGAAGGTGAAGAACTTCTAAAGAAAACCCGGGTTTTACGCGGATTGATGTACTTATCAACCCATGATGCCCATGTCAATAAAGCTCGTCTGAAAGCCTCTGTAACATCGAGTCGAGGATAGACTTGATCACCTTCCTGATAGTAGTTAATCCTGTTGTAATCAAAGAGTTAGAATGGTTCTATATGAATAATGCAAAAACCATATATACAAGTACACAAGTGTGTATGTAACTCAACACGAACTATTGTATCGATGAATTCGCGATAAAACATAAATTGAAACCGTCACAACACGGTTACTTGAAAAGGATGAGAGTCCGGATAAATTCTTAAAGGGAATATATATATAAAATATATATATATATTGACTAGTTAAGGGTTCAAATTCTTACATTCACACATTTCATATTTGGTTAGATAGGCATTAGTGATTCGCCGCATATCTTCTTATTTCCAATTACAGTGCAGAATAAAGTCGATATACTGCCTAAAGACTATTGCCTTCAGTTTGAAAAACGAGGCTCACCCGGCCTTTGTCTTTGAATGGCTCCACCAATGTGCAGTGTTGAATACTAAGATATCAGCCCCTCTCCATCTGGATGACCCTTTATCTATAGTATCAATACGCAAAGTTTGCGTTCTTTTTCTCTCAATTCTTGCTTTACTCTCATGAACAAGATAATGCGAAACATAAAACTCTACCGTACATTTATAATCCTGCACAATGGACAAACAAAAGAAATGCACCTCAACACCACCACAGCCAAGTCATAATCACAAGCTAAGGATTTTAGACAAAATAAAGAATAAAAAAAAAATCACCTCAAACTTGAAACAATAATTTCCCCTTTCTTTAGTTATTTTCCTCCCTCGAGCCTCGTACACTTTCTTCGGATCTTTAACAGCTCCCACCAACAAACAGAGCATCGATTCCCATTGATTTCTATTGATCGAGTCGCCAACAAACACTAACCTCTTCCCTCTGATTAATTCCAGCATTCTTGCTGCATTAAATCTACAAATCATGTATGCAAGAAGAATATTCATTTTGACAAATTCCAGCAAAAAGCTACATGCATGCTAAATATGTAAAACTTACTTAGGAACATCACAATCTTGAGGCTTCCACCTCCAATTCATGTACTCTTTATCCAATCTCCCATTGGCTTGGCAGTTAAAACCTTCATCTATAAAAGGACATGTAACATTTGTGTACAAAGGGTAGCTTGAGCTTCCATCTAAAACCCATTTCCCTTTTGTGACATCACACTTTTGCTCACTTTTCACACCAATTCTTTTTCTAATAGAAATATCTTGTCTCACAATAGCAACATGTGGTTCAAATTCTATATCCCTTTTCCCCTCAATTTTTTCAACAATACTATCTACAGACATATTTTCACCAAAAGAGGTCAAACTAGAGTTACCAGCATCACTTACCACCGTAGCCTTTTCACTGCCCCTTTCCGCAATTTTAGAAAAATCACCACTTTTCGAACTAAATTCAAATTCTCCATAATGGGTTTCCGTAAAGATTGGAACTTTATCCACATACTGTGAAGAATTGGTGTTGAGAGATGTGTTGGTGAAATCAAGATTAAGGGTTCGTGAGGTGGTGGGTTTGAAAACCCAAGTCGAGAAAAAGATGAGAAATACTACGGAGAAGGAGATTGTGAGTGAGAAAGCTAGAAATCTGATGGGCTTGAGAGAAAAAATTCTCTGTTTTTCCATTTTTTTTTCTTTTTTTGATTCTGTTTGCCCCGTACTGTGACTCGAGTCAAGTAAATGGAGTTATTTAACAAGATTTGATAGCGTTAATGAGTCAAACAGCCAGTGAGGTCACAGAACGAGAGAGATAATAGAGAGTTTCGTTCAAAAATGGGCATATCAGCATATGTGTTACTCAGTAACTGCTGGTTTTTACCATTTCAAAAACAAAAATCTATATTTTGTGCAGGAACTTTACGTGCCTTTAGCTTTAGCTTGTAAATCACATGCATGTTTCAAATCATCCACCTTTTTCTTCGGTTTTGTTATGGAGCCAACAGTTGGCTCCATAGTGGAGCCAACCTTCTATATACAACAAATAAACTTACCATATTCTCTGATTACTTAAATAACACTAATATAATTTTATTAATATGGTAGGGCCTTTTTCTTTTCCATTTTATCTAGGCTGATTAAGAGTATCTTGATGGAAAGGTAAAAAAAAAAATCGATATTTCGTTGCATTTACCGATAGGAATAGACTCATCTCAACAGGGTCGATTGAGAATTTGTCAATTCAAACGTAAAAAAAATCGATATTACATTGAAGTTACCGATATTACGATATACTACCTCCTATTCTTTTTAAATGTTATTTTGACTTTATCAACTATTCACCAAAATAAATGTCTTGGATCTTTTGTACATATTTTTCCATTATTACCCTCATTTAGTTAATAAATACACTACGTCTTTTCATATTCTCTTCATCTTCTTTTTAAAACACCAATCTCTATCTTCATTAATGAGGGTTATTATTGAAAAAAAAAATATTCTTAATTAATGTGCAATTTCTCAAAACGACACTTATTATGAATAGGAGGGAGTATACTTTACCATTGAGAATGTATTGATTTAACAGTAAAAAATTTAACACTACCCTTACTTATTGTCAGAATCATAATTGATCATTTAGTATATTTACATTTCCACGTGTTTAGGCGTTGGCGCTTACGACAGTTGTCTTACCACCATATCTTTTTTCTACTTCTTTAGCTTTTATTAATTGTTAATTTATACAAGATGCCCATTGTAGGGTTAGGAGCATATGTCATGTTTCTTTGTCTTGGTACTGTTCACCTACTAATAAACTGGCTTGTAATGTACTGTATTAGGCCGTCTTAGAGTTTCGGTTAGTAATGGGCCGAAGACTTGATTGGGCCAGCATTGTTCCTTTGTAATCTTTTCCTTTTTCTTTTCTCCTTTTTTCATTTGTGCTACGTTTCTTCTTCTTTTTTTTTTCTACTCTTTTTTGCAGTGGGGATGCAGAGGTATCGTCATTTACGTATTATCCAAATTAAACTCAACCACAAAAAACAATGACCCAACAAATAAAAAGAGGACAAGACANCTAACCCTCCTTTCATCAAGAAAAATCAGCCTCAACAAGCACATGCTTTCTCTTAGGATACCCCAAACCAAACAAATGGTTGAGATACACTTTCCCATCCTTGACAGTTGCAGCCGTAACCAAACGATGAGTAACCCCACCGAACTTCCCCACGACTTTTCCCGTCTCGAAATCATCCAAACTCTCAACCAATCGTGAAGGGTTACCCGCAACAACGAGCCTCGTGGGAGACAAAACTTCCAACCCATCTCCAAATCTCAACGAGTCCTCGACTAGTTTGACCGCTTTGACTTGATGATTATTACCTTCATCCAACTCGATTTTGAATAGGTTGCCCGTTATAGTATGGATGACGAGTAAGTAACCGTTTGGGTGGTAGACAATGCCGTTGAGTCCAACTAAATTGAGGTACCACTCTTTGGGAGCAAAGAGTGGGCTCTTAATGGAGTGTATGAATTCTCCATTCGGCCCGACTTTCCAAATCTTGTTTCCCTTTGTGTCGGTTATGTACGCGTTGCCATGTGGGTCGACGGCCACATCGTCTGCGAATGCCTTTTCATCTGTGTAACACGAGACAACGGTTTGTGGTTAAAAGTAATATAATAATTATAATTAAGTATGTAATATTTCTGAAAATCTTTGTATTTTATCATACTAAGTAATATATTTTATAAAAGGTCTTTTGCAAGTTATGAATGATTGTAAATATAGATAAATTTATTAATATTCTTACAACAGTTTCTAGGGGCACTAGGCCTCAATCAGTCAAGTGCCTAGCGTTTTTTAGAACATTGATATATATATTTATATATAATAGGACACCTACATGATCCATGATAATAAGTATTGGCTATAATTATTCTAAAAGTACAATATCAATTGCATTTTGCACGAAAAAATGCCAAAACAATGGGAAACGATGTTGAAGTGAAAAATATGAGTGGAGTGGGAAAGAGAAAAAATGGGCATATATGTTCAAAAAAATAAGTGGGGAGAGAGAAAAATAATGGCGGCCTCCATAGAGTTTGGTGATTGTCATTCAATGTATGATAGAAAAACACCAAACACAACACAAGATTTTGAAATGATCTAAGCAGGTGAAGAAAGACAAGTGCCCACAAGATTTGAAAATGATCTAAGCAGGTGAAGAAAGACAAGTGCCCACGAGGATCTCGCTTTAACATATTTTTAACTGAAGACCATATCATATTATTTATAAAATTGTCCCCACTNACAAGTAATGGTTAAAAAATCATAATTCCATTTTTTCACCAGTTTATATATTAATTTAAGCTAGCGAAATAACAATCTTCTCATTCCAATCTCATGTCAATTAAATTAAGTACCCTCACCGAACACCAGCCACTTTTAGTTTAGTGGACAAGCAGATGTTGGTGACTGCGTGTGACCAAACAATTTGGACTAGAAAATTTCAATTAAAAAGTGTCTAATGACTGGAGCAATGAGGGGTATTTAGGTAATTACATACATTCGAGCAGTTCGTCAAGCTAGCTGGAGCTCGGACTCGAGCGCTCAACTCTAGGCACCCGCTAGTTTAATTTTCATATACAGATGATTAATCAGATTATCACTATAGTTCCCATTAACATAAGAAATTCATAGCGCTATAATCGCATCACAGTCTAATTATAACAAAACGGGCAGCTGGAGGAATAATCACCTGGTCCGCTGAGCTGGGTGAGGAAAAGCCGATCCCACGTGGTCAAATCATAGGCCGCCACGGCGCTGTACTTGTTCCCAATCACATCGGCGACGGCCACCACCACCCGATTCCTCGGCCGATCGATGGCTAACCCCAGCGACGAATTTCTCCCCAAGCCGGCGCCGCCGACCACCAGAATTTCCTGCGGAGCGTCGTCGGACGGGTGTTCCTGCACCGGAACCACCCCGAGACCGCCCTCGAAGAAGGAGACGAGGAACCGGCGGTTGAGATCGTCCCACTTGGCGCACTCGCGGAGCCACCCGCCGCTGTGGTAGGCGAACACGTGCGTGGCACGCTCGGAGGTCTCGGAGTGGAGGACGTAAGAGATGGGGACGGCGGAGAGGAGGAGGAGGACGACGAAGGACTTGGCGGAGCAGCAGAGGGAGAGAGCCATGGCTGTGTTTTTGTGCGGTTTTAGCGAATTTTTCGGCTTTTTATAAATATAAGAAATAAAAATTGAAAAGAGTACAGTGCTCTTTATTTTTTACTTAAATAAATGGACAGTGGAGATTCCAAGATGATGGGCCTCTATTTTAGGTTGGACTTTTGGTTTTGGAGCTTTTTCCTCATAGGTGGATTTCTTTTGGCAAAACAAATTTATTTGGTTGGACTTTAGGCTTTTTGGAGCTTTTTTCCTCATATGGGGATTTATTTTAGCAAACAAACAAACAACTGAAGGTTGTGCTCGAGTTTGAATGTATGGGTTCATGTCTAACCCAACGTGACTGTAGTGAAGTCACCAAATTTTTTAATATTTTTTTTATTGTTGAATAAATACATACGTCCAGTCCATATGAATGTGTGTTGATACAACTATAAGAAAATCAATGACTACTAGCCGAATGAACCAAATCCTTCTGCAATACATATAGATGTGTGTAAGAATATCTGCATCTAGGGCCATACCTTTTGCCTTTTGGGTGGGCACCGTTGGTGTTTCGGAGTAGTGGTGTTTTGGCAGGGCTGACCGTCTGGAAAGGAGGGCTTCATTCTAGTATTGCTAGGTGGTGTTTTTGTTTTTATTTTTGTGGTATGTGTTTTTATGTGTTTTAGCATTGGGTGTCTAATCTCCTGTTGGGAGTTTCGTTATCCACACATGGGATTTTATAATTTATTACTACTGTGGGTTAGTTTATAGTAATCTATGTTGAGAAATGCTATGGAGTCAATGGTTGGCTCCATAAAGGAGCCAACCATTGACTCCATAGCATTTCTCAATCTATGCTTTCCTTTGGAATATTCTCACATTAGATTCGACCATTTGATTGCCAGATTCGTCTGCTACTGATCGGTCTCTTTATTGTATATATGTGTTTTATTTATAAAATCTTATCGTTCCAAAAGAAAAAAAGTACCAACTGTAACTATAAATATCTCCATATTACATCTATTACAAATCAAGATTCCTCTTGATACCAAACTGAACAAAAGTGTTCCAGAACACATCCAATGGTCTCAGAATTCATTCACAAAAAATGTAATACAGAGAACACATGATTTATTAATTCCATTGAGCAATACATGAGATGAATTTATTAATGCCATCAACCAAGAACAAGAAACAAGGAACCCATCAAACAAAACTATCAAAACCAAGAACCAGAAACAATAAACCCAGCAAAGAAAACTACGCAATTAAAACCTTGAAATGGCCATAACAGTAGCTCAAAAGCCCTCAGTACCGAACACCATAACTAGAATTGATTCAGAGACAATCAACGAGTCATCTTCAGTCAAAACTCAAACATATCATCAAACATAACAACATTAGCAGGGATAGGCTGACCAGGACAAAGCATCTGCCACGGCTCGAGCATGACATCAAGGAATATGTGGAACATCATATGCCAACTCACTCACCTCAGAGACAACCTTAATCACAGAATTCAACGAGTGGAGGCGATCAGTGAGTTCAGACACTCGAGCCCTCAACCCATTATTCTCGGAAGCAAAATTGATGTAAAGCTGTGTTGCCCCATCAATCATTTGTCTCATCTTCTTGCTTTCATCCTGCAGCTGGCTTACTTGGCCAACGAGCTCGTCTAAATGCTGCTGCTTTCTCATCCGGGACCTACGGGCTGATTCCCGATTGGAAAGCTTCCTCTTTTGCTTGCGTTCATCCAGGTCGGAGCTCGAGCTCGTCGGTTGTGGTTTTGAAGACATTTTGAATCAGGGACGAAATTGGGTGCTAGCAATTGTTATATTATGGTCGATTTTTAAGTTTGGTCGGTGAACTAGTGGATGTGGATTGGTTAACAGGAATTGGGGACGAAATTAGGGTTAGGGTTAGGGTCTTGGATGATCAAATTGGGGTAGCTCATGAAAACACATAGAACCAGTAAAGGAATACAACTGAGAAGGAGTGGAGGATCCTAATCCGGCGCATCAAAACGGAGAGCGTCATAAAAAATCGAACATGGAAATGGATTTTTGAAATTTCGATAATCTGCCTGTTCGAGAATTATCTGNAACTAAACAGAAAAAAAATAAAATAATAAGTAAATAAGTTGAAAAAACAAAAAATAAAGCATACAAGTGAAATGAAACATGAGAGGCAATGAAAGGAAAATGCTAACCTTATAGAAGCATTGCGAGGTTGGCGAAAGGAAGGCCACAAGGGTGAAAAATGGGGGTATTTATAGGTGGAGATGAGAGATTTGAGCAGTGGAAAATGTATTACTTTAATTAAGATTAAGGAAAAAATCTAATTAGTGAGTGCCGCTGATTGGTGGGTAATGTACGACAACTTGGAATACAGCTAATGACGGTCTTCCACGTATCTTTCCTTCAAATATTATAATATCTACTAATGCTTTGTGTTTGTATTAATGGATTTTATTTTAAATCATCAAACAAAGTATCTATTACCAAAAATAATATTCATTTCATTTCAATGTTTTTTCTACCAATCTCACTAATTCAATTTTAAAACAAATTATTATTATTATTATTATTATTATTATTATTATTATTATTATTATTATTATTATCATTATTATTATTATTATTATTATTATACACTTGTTAATAAAAAATATTCTTCACTCATTATCTATTAAAATTTATATTAACTTTATTCAAACTGACACTGGGTTCCGTGTCTCCTTGGGTGATTGATTTCATAAGAGCACCCACAATGCTTCGGGTCTCTTTTTGCATATGTGTCAAATAAATAGACTTAAATCCATAATGACATGGACAAACCAAAACTAAAAAATCCAAAATCTATCCAATGCAAAAAAATAAAAAATATTAAGTCTAGAATACCTTACAACCAATAAAAATATAATAATAGTAAATGATTGCTATTGTAAGGTTCACACTTGGGTTGCTATTGTAAGGTTCACACTTGGGTCCAAAATAGACCCAATAGTGGACTTGGTCTCTTTTTTTATTGTCACATAAGCTAGACTAGGTCTACTTTTAATTGCATTGTGAAATATTTTTTTATAGACTAGGTCTATTTCCTACGTGTCATGTGATTTTTTTTTTTTTTTAGCACTGTGGGTGTTCTAAGTAATTTGATTTTCTTTTTAGGGCTATATATGAGTTTTATTAGTTGATTGAACTAAAAATTTGATAACTTTTGGTATATGGTTATTTCTTCGTCTTGATGATGAATAACCTCACAATGTGCATGATTGTAAATTTTTAAGTTAAGTAAATAAATTTTAATGTTTTTTTCCTTATCAAACTCGATATGTTTGCTACATTTTTCAGATATTCACCTAGTATTTTTAGTTAAATATAAGATTTTTAAAATTTTCTATTCCACGAGTCTTTTTATTGTTACGGAAAAAAAATCATACTATTCTAACATAGTAATTGATATAAAGTTTGACATGGTGCACCCGTGGCAAAATTCAATGATTTATACATCACATTAATTTTAAAATCAACAATTCATACACTAACACATCTTTTATTTCGTGAAAAAAATGTCAAAGTAACATTATTTATTGAAAAATAGATGATCGAAAAATAAACCTAACTTAAGCTTGTGAATTGTTATTGTGGAATTATTATACTTATATATCAAACATTTGTGTTTGTTTTATCCAATCAAAGGCAGAAGCTACAATCTTGGTAAAGAAAAATCTTGATTATCGAGTGAGAACTGTTTTTAAGTCATTTCACCTATTCACATGATTACATTTCACCTATTTCACGATCATATGTTACATTTCAAATCACATCAAAATTAAAATCAATAACTAATAAAATACATACAATCTTATATATCAAACTACGATTACCTCAAAATATACTTATCCCTTAAAAAGTTTTCTCTTGAACATATTAGAATTTAGAGTGAATTAATACATCCCCTCTTTGTTGAATGGATAAAGTAGCCAAATATTTTTGATCGACTTTAAGGAGGCACACTTTATTTGACCACCCACTGAATACTAAATCTGGTTTTGCATTTTCTTAATAATTTAACATGGCTTTTTAGGCAAAAGCCTAACCATATTATGAATACGTGACTCATCTAGCATAATATAATAACTACTTTAAATAGATAAATGAACCATTTTCACACTTACTTTAATTTTTTTTTTTTTTCAAGTCACTTAGTTTATTTTATTTGTCAAATTGTGATAGATGATTAAAAATATTGGAAAATTGTGATAGATGATTAATGGTTACACAAAAAGAACTCTTCCAACAAATATATCTATTTTTATATTAAAATGAAATACTTCAAAACACTATATCAACAAAAGTATGACTATGTTTTGTATAAATTTTATTCTTAAGTAAAAAATATAATTGTATAATTGTTAGTCATACAAACATGGCATTTCTCAGAAAAATGAGTCTCTTTGCCTTCGACCAAACCCTTCTAGAAAGCGATGTAGACCTTTTATCCAATGGCCCAAGGATTATATCATTGGATACAAAGCAGTAGGCCCAAATATATTTACATCTCGTTATTAGCTCACTCGCAATGGGCCGAGGACAAGTTTTACGCTTCATGAGTTTTATTGTGAAGACTATTTTTATTTATACATATATTAACTTTTAAGTTTTATTTTTAAACATAAAATTTGTCATTTTGCTATCTTTCCTCCCTCCATCCCTTTGGACCCTTTCTGTTTATTTTCTCTTTTATTTTTCTTTTTTCTTTTAACTATGTAACTAAGCCATTAAATATTGACTAGCATAACACCATTTATCATATACTATACACCTGCTATATTATAAAAGAAATATATAACATAAAATGTCACGTGAACTTTAGTTACAAATGTGTGCGCTAAATATTTTTTTAGAAATATGCTATTCTCATACATATGATTTTATTTTTAACATTTGATTTGGCATATGAACAATAACATTCAATATATATTTGATACTTACATATATAAAATTTGACTTACATAAATAAAAATTTGACTTAACTTGTTAAGACTCGTTCGTATTTATTAATAAATAAAAATTTTCCATAATTTTTCGAACTTAAATTGCCTTGTTAAAATTCCTTTAACAAATAAAATTTGAGCTCGTTAATTAGATTGTTTTTACCGGTCATTTCTATTTGGGGCTCTAAATCCAGCCAATCTAACCGGCTGTTCCCTTACCCAACTTCCGGCAGGTGCTCGCCCTTGCTCCGCCTCTATCCCAGCCGGCGCCACCATCTCCGGCTACCTTCCGGCGCCACGACGCCCTTCATCCAGCTCGAAGTGCTATATTTCATAATTTATCGGTACTCCTCTTTGTTGTGAAAGAAAATCGGTATGTGTTGAGAAGAAAATTTTATTTGTGAATCGAGAACTGCCATGGATGCTGAATCGAGCTTCATGGTGCCGTATCAGTGATTTCTGAAAGAGTTTACTGAAATAGTTTTGATTATGACTAATTAATTGACCCGCTTTGAGGGTTTCAGAGTATGGCAGCAGCCGTACCCAATATTTCCTTTTCCTCTTCTTGCACATCTAGCCATACAAAAGGCGAAATCAAGAACGGCTTCTGCATTTTTCCCAAAAATTGAATATTTAGAAACGAGCCCTCGAGCCCCTTTTGGTTTGGTTTAAATTTGGTTTTATAATATTAGTTTGACGACCTCATTTCGAACTACTTTTTCGACCAAAATTTCTGACGAGCTTCTTGTTTCAGGGTTTATTTTTTATTTTTTTATGGAGCTTAGGGAATATGCATGCTTAAAAAATGCACCTTCAGCGAATGTGGCTACATCAAGTTTTCCAAACAAGGTAAATGTGATGGCCCAAATGGAAGACCGCGAGGGATTTGCAGATTATGGTTCTTCCATGGATTTAGATGTTGACCTCCGAGAAATTTATTTCATGATCATGCATTTTCTGGCCGCTGGCCCATGTCAAAAAACATTTAGACAAATGTGGGAGGAGCTTTCAGAACACGCACTCTTACCTCGAAGATATCATGCTTGGTATTCGAGGAGTGGTACAGTCTCTGGGGATCAAAACGACGATGGGAACTCGTTTCCTCTAAATTATGACAATTTAATTGGAAGGTAAGTATTGATTTATGCTCGTTATGTTTTTTTCCATGTTGTTTCATGTTGACAGTGATCCCGGATCCATAGTTGATTTTGTAGTTCGATAGAAGGAGACAAGTCTCGTCTTATGCGTGGCAATGGGTTTACTTAATGTATTTCCTGCTAATATTTAGTTAATTTTAAAATCCTCATTCACGAGATACTGTTTGTACATTTGTTTAGATGGAATTAAAAGGTATAACCACTGTGATGCTATATTAAGTAGTCGTAAGAGTGTAATTTTTATGCTTATGGTGCCCTAGTGTATATTCTGTAATTAGGCTGAGTGGGTTAAACATTCAATGCTCGTGCCATGCCAACAAAATTAAAACGTGTCAAATAACTGAGGGTCCACAATAGCTCAAAATCTTGTAGCTGGTTTTCCAGTATTAGCATCATACATTAATAAGATGAACTTTTCCCCCCGCTATAAAGTGGCTTCATTCAGTTGAATGTTTAAAATCCTTTTACCAGGTACCCCCACATTGGAAAAGATCACTTGGTCAGACTCATTAAACAATTGATGCTGATGATGTCTCCTCCATCACAGTGTACATCCGGAAGAATTGTTCCTAATGCTCTTGATGTTCCTACCGTACTTGGAACTGGGACATTTTCTTTGTTGTCAGGTAAGTGAAGTTAA